TAGCATGCTAAGAAATATTCTTCACTACTCTTTGTATCCAGTATGACTGAAGTCCATTGTTCTGAATACTAGAGGATGCATAAACTTTGCTTGATTATTCAGTAGTAGTAGAACTGGGATTTATATGAGAACAAGTGAATACATTTATCAGCAGAAGAAGTTTCTAGGGTGGGTTTGAATCTGTCCACTGCATTTTACCTTCATATTGATGTTAATATCTGCTTTAAGCATTTTCTTAATGATCACACAACTATTTTGTAAGAGAAATATTTATTCACTCAATAAACATGCATTTAACAATAATCAAATATCAGTTAAGATGATTGACCCTGAAGATACATCAACTTTCTTTTCAATTTTATGATATATATAGCTCTTTAGAAAAAGAAATATAATAAGTAGATATGTAGATTTATACATTAGGAGTTGTATGTTAGAAAATATATATAATTGCAAGTCAAATAAAAATTTGTGTATAATTTAAAATTTTATGTAAACTTAATACTAGTTGCTTATATATGAATATATATGCATGCAATCTAAATAAATTATCCTAATAAAGTTTGAGAATAGGGTTTAGTGACATTTTAATGTAAGGGAAAAGAAATTAGAACACTTACATAACATTTTAAAGGCTTATAAATTACAGAATAATTTCAAGTTTTCTTATGTTGCATTTAAAGATTATGAACCCAAACTTGACCAGTATCTCAGGGCTTTGTAGACTTGCAAGCAGATTCCAGGGATAAATAAAGAACCAGTGATTCTAAGAAAAAGATTGATGAGAATTAAGGAAGTTACCAACACTGTTGAAACCTTCAGATGTCCAATTTGCATCGGGAAAGCTAAATGTTTACAATTGATACAAAGACTATATTTTCCATAGAAATTGAGTGCCAGAGAGATATCACAGTGGGTAAGGCCCTTGTCTTGCTGATGGCCAACTCAAGTTTGATCTCTGAAACAGCTTTTCGTCCTCCAAGTGCTGTCAGGAGTGACTGCTGAGTGCAGAACCTTACTACAGCCAGTGTGCCCTCAGCACAGCCAGTATGCCCCATACTTCCCCCAAAAATAAGAAGAAATTGTTTGAAAATTGTTGGTTTTTGAAAAATGTAATATTAACCAAAATCATAATATTGATGTCACCAAAATTAAAATATTTATTACAAACATGTCTCTGATTATGCTTGTCATTAATGATTATATGATCTATCTGCATGGAGAAAATAATATGACTTTTATTATACTAAATTATAACTCATTCTTCAAGTTGATCATTTTTCTCAATATGCCATCATAAATATTAAATAATCCAGTTGTGTCTATATACAATTATTATTGAATAAAATATAAAATACAAGTATAATATGTAGTATTATATTCAGTTTTCTTATAAACTTTTGTAGTTAAACTTTTAAAAACTATCACTCTAAATAAAGGATAAAATATAATTAAATGTTCAAATACTGTGATAATAGAGGCAATTAGTTTAAAGTTCCCTTTGAATGCCAATATTATCTGACTCACTATTGGGATATGATGTTACAAGACCAAAAATATAATTTAATGATATTTGAGAAAAATGCTTCTTAGAATCTTATTTCTTTACTGGCACATTCTTCCACACATATTCCACATCCACACAGTGCAATTCCTTTTCTAATTTCTGTATTCCCAATGTTGTCTCCTTTGCCAAAAGAAAGCAATAATATTAAAGATATCCTGACAGAGAACAAATCAAATATTTTTGCCTCAATCTTCTATCAGTTTGCTTTACTCAAGTGAATAAAAATCTTAATAACCTCTTGCTTTTAAATCTCTTCAGATTTTATGTTTACCTGTTACACTTCCTAGATCTACTTTCTACTTCCTCTGAACCTGTCTGTAGGGTGAAGAACTGAAGATGGCGCTGAAAAGAAGGCAGAGCTTTCACGAATTTTAGAGCAGAATAAACAGAGCATAGTGAAGTGGAATCATATATATAATGCAGAATAAGAAACATTTTCAGAAATTGAAAGGGACTAAAATTGCCTGGCAAAACATAAGGAAAGGCAAGACTTGTAGACAAATACAAAAACATAGACCATTCTTACTCTTAGGAAACTCAGTTTGGGTCCCTGCAGCAGACATCTGCATCATGGGACAGTGGCTCTTGGCAAGGCAGAGAGTGAAAAATAAGAGGAAGTTAGTATGCTGTTAGAAAAGGTGTTAAGAATCTAGAGAATGATGAAGAAAGACTGAAGGAATTTGAGAACAGTGCAAGTGAAGTTTTAAAGTCCTCAAAGGCAACCTGTCAGCTCTGAAAGAAAAAAAAATAACTTCAGCAACCTAATTTAAAAATGTACTTATCTGGGCCAAGAGGTAGTATAGCGGAAAACACACTTGTCTTGCGCACAGACTACCAGGGATCCCTGGGGTCCCATACAGTCCTGCGAGCCTGCTAGGAGTGATCCCTGAGTGCAGAGCCAAGAGTAGACCATGAACATTGATGGGTGTGGTCCCCAAAACAAACAACAACAAGAAAACATACCTGTCAATGTGGCAGGTTGCAGATGGTTGGTAGGTAGGAAGGAACCTGGGAACCCTAATGGAGGGAAGAAGTACTTGGTGGTAAAATTGGTGCTGAAACATAGAATGTCTAAAACCTGACTATAAATAACTTTGTAAATCATGATGCTTTAATAAAATTTAATTAAAAATTTAAAAGTTAATAGATGATGATTTGAGGTGATTTTTGCTATATTGAAATAAGTAAGCAAGTGTAAGACAATCACTGGATGGTTCTACTCATATGTGAAATATGAAAAAAAATCAGATTGACAAAAACAAGTCTCTTAGACATAGTGAAAACTATGATGGTACCTAGAGGGAAATGGGAAGGGACTGATTGGAATGCAGTTTAAGTGTCTTTTGGATGGAGTGATGGTGCTAGAACTTTAGTGGCAGGTACTATGAGGACTACACAGATATAGAGGTACTAAAGTAAACCCCTGAAATTTCATAATACTAAGAACCTTAGATCAATCCAGCAATGTGTTGTGAACCTGAACAAAGTGTTTAAAGGTAAAAGAATTTTTAAATACAAATATTCTTTTCTTGTACACACAACTTTAATAAATCGTGGGAAGGTTTACATACTTCTAAAATAGTAATTTAAGTACTAGATAAATAATGCCCCTAACCTCTCAAGTTGTAACTAAATTTTTTTTTGTATTTTAACATTTTCTCAATAAGTATGTCAGAAAAAGTCATCATGACATATAAAGGGACAGAAAAAGCTCAGATACACACATGACTGTTTCTTTTGACTTCCTGTTTTTCTGTCAACTAAAATCCAAACTTATTCATTACACTTTATTACCAGGTTTTTTTTCCACTCTGCCTAACCCATTAATTACTCATGATAGAGTTGTTGTTCAACAATCTCCCATGATCTCCCATGATCAAGTAAGATAACATGTAAAGGACACTATTGTTTACTTATTAAATAATCCATCAATGCAAGTAATCTTATTCTCTAATATTCGGTGTTCTCAAGTGCTTCTTTGAGAAGATTTTAAACAGCACTTTGCAGTTTAAAAAATGAATTTGCATGCTTAGAGTCAACATCATTTGGTGTTCATTAAGAACAACAATAAAACCAAATTATATTATTTACATTTTCAAATTTTGCTGGAGAGATAGCACAGTGGTAGGGCATTTGCCTTGCATGGGGCCGGCCCAGCCAACCTGGGTTAGATTCCTCCACCCCTCTCGGAGAGCCCGGTAAGCTACCGAGAGTATCTCACCTCCATGGCAAAGCCTGGCAAGCTACCCGTGACATATTCAATATGCCAAACACAGTAACAACAAGTCACACAATGGAGATGTTACTGGGCCCACCTGAGCAAATCGATGAACAACGGGAGGACAGTGCTACAGTGATACATTTTCAAATTAAAGAAATTGCCATTAAGAAAAGATACAGGGAGGAGCTGAGAGATAACACAGGGGCTACAGTGTGTCACATACTTTGTTTACAGCAGACCTGATTCAATCTCCGGCACCACAAGTTCCCCAAAGCATCTCCAGAGGTAATCCTAAAGGTCCACAAGCACAGCCATCTATGGCCCTGGAGGGCTAACTCTTGCATGGCCCCATTGATTCCCTACACTGAAGGGCCTGAGTAGCACCACATCCTCAGGTCTTACAATTGAACTACTGCCTGGACAAGCCTAGAGCCAACAAAAGGACACAGAGTCTCAGGAGCACCTTGGAATCTACCATCTACCTGACACCCCACACACCCGCCCACCCACCACACACACACACACACACACACACACACACACACACACACACCACAAAGTCCAGTGTTGTACACATAAAAGATGAAAGTTACCCTGACCTTTTGATCTCAACTTATTTCAGTTCTTTATTATTTATTTATTTTTCACTTATGGGCCTTACCTGGCATACAACACAGTTTGTCCCTGTCAATTATATGCATTTCTAGTTTAAATCCTAAAATTTTAACTTAAAATTTTTCTGATTGATATTTTATTCCAATTGTGTTCTGTCCTAGGAGGTTTTCTTATTACTGAATTAGTATGTTTAATTATTTCCTATTATGATAATGAGGGCATTCCAAATGAGATGCAATGTTAAATTAATTCAATAGCTTTAATTTAAAAGACATACAATCTCAGGGCCTAGTTCCATGTCACAGAGTTGTTTAATATGGAATTAAAAATAATCTGTGTCTTAAGATGCTGCATGAAAACTCATAAAACAGTAGTGCAGAACAGTATACCTAATAGCTCCTGTATGATGCGCCACTTTCTGTAGTAGGCAAATGACAGTTTGGCACAGGAAAAGGCAAGTATTCTCTGAAAGCAGAGAAGTCTCTCTCTTTGCCCAATTCGAAGAAAAAAATTAAAAAATGAATTATAACCCTTTATTTATCATAGTCATCCTTAGCTTTTGCACAATATATCCTTTCTCTCTCAAACTGACCATCCTCAACCCTCTACAGTTACCTTGGTTCGAACAAATATCTGGATGATCTTCCTTCTTATCTCCTTGGTCTTCACAGTATAAACTACGGGGTTTAACACAGGGGGCACAAGAAGGTAGGCATTGGCCATGAGGGCATGAGTCAATGGTGAAAGGTGTTTGCCAAAACGATGAATGACAGACACTCCAATGAGTGGTACATAGAAGATGAGCACAGCACAGATGTGTGACACACAGGTGTTGAGTGCCTTCAGTCTGCCTTCTCCTGAAGCAATGGCCATTACCGTTCGAAGAATAAAAGCATAGGAGAGGAGGATGGAAAGGGAGTCAGAACCTTTGGTAAAGATAACAGCAATGAGCCCATAAAGACTATTGACACGAGTGCTGGCACAGGCCAGGCGCATGACATCTTGGTGGAGGCAAAAGGAGTGCGAGAGGATGTTGGAGCGGTAGAAAGGAAGGCGCTTGATGAGGAAAGGCACAGGGAAGACCACACAGACAGCCCTCGACAAGATAATCACGCCTATTCTGCAGACCACCCCATTGGTTAGGATGGTGCCATACCTGAGAGGGTTCCAGATAGCTACAACTCTATCAAAAGCCATGGCCACCAGCACTCCAGATTCAATAGCTGAGAAAGTATGGATGAAGTACATTTGAACAAGACAAGCATCAAAAGCAATTAGTTTGTAGTTAAACCAGAATATGCCCAGCATAGAGGGCAAAGTACAGAGGGCAAGTCCCATGTCAGCCAATGCCAGCATGCAGAGGAAATAATACATGGGGATATGCAGGGACGACTCAGACTTGATGGTGGAGATGATGATACCATTACCAAAGAGGGCAATAAAATATATAGCACCCAGTGGAAGTGCCATCCAGTAATACTGTTGTTCAAGCCCTGGAAGTCCAGTTAGCACAAAGTAAAGGTGTTGAAATTGGGTGTGGTTATCTGCCATCAAGCCAATGTGATACACAAACGTGGGAGATCTTCTGAGATGATGGCCTAAAATTACAGTGACAGAGATGAACAAAATATTAGAAATTCACATCCCCACACAACTTAACCACTTTACTTTCACCTGTGGCAAGGAATGTGTTAGAGAGGTCTGCATTCCAAAATTACTAATCCAAGCTGTTTTAAGTGGCTAGAGTATCTACTGGCCCGCAAGTAAGAGATTCTGCCTAAATTTCAAGGAAATCTTTTTAGGTAAAAGCACACATCTTAGTATCAACACATTAGGTAAAACACCTTCTGACTCTCCTTTTATTCCTCCTTTTAAAAAATACATTATAAACTGTTATATCAGAATTTAAGTATGTAATAACTGAATTAATATAAAATATGAATTACCTGGCTCCTAATAGATGATGCCCTTCTTACCCAACACACACTGCCCATAGTTTTCATGTGCACAATAGTCCCTGAATCTAGGGTATTGGTGAAATTATTTAGGGTGCAAGCCTGTGATTTTTTGAACCATAACCCTCCTACATTTGCCTGATCCTTTTGTGACTTCAAAATCTTTTCAACTTGGAACTGTCACATAATTAATAGAAAGTGAAATGTATACTGCATCCCTAGGATAATGAAATCATAGAATAAAAGGGGATGGGTGGATTAGCTTTAGGAAAAATGCAATAATCTGTCTCATTTTAATGAATAACTCATCATGAAGCAATACTACAGCAGGTGGGGCATTTGCCTTGCACACAGCAGACCTGGGTTCGATCCCCAGCATCTTATTTGGTTCCTTGAGCACTTCCTGGAGTAATTCCTGAGCACAAATCCAGGAGTAATGCCTGAGCATCACTGGATCTGGCCCCAAAATAAGTAAACAAAAAAAAAGGAACAACCCATCTTTTCCAAAAGTAAGTGAAAACTTCCTAGTTTTCTTGCAGTCTTTTCCCTATAGAATCAGGAGTGTTATTGAAGTTGCAAAATTGTATACTTGCATCTGGCTGAAAAGGGACTCCATTTTATTATGTATACAATGCCACAATTTGAAAAATAAAAGCATACTTGTTGTTGGAGACAGCTCAGAGGATTACAATGCATACTTTGTAAGTGGGAAGTCCAGATTTGATCCCTAGCAATACATGGTCCACTGAGTAGACCACTGAGAGTGATCTCCAGCCACTGAGCTGGGAGAGGCAAGAAGCACCACCAGGTGAGAAACACAGACAGACAAACAAAAAATATAGGTGCCATTTCTTCAGCCTAGGTCATATTATGGTAAGGCATAGTGATCCTTCATAACAACATATTGCATTCATAATGACACATACATTTGGCTAAGGGTTGGAACGATAGCACAGCAGGTAAGGCATTTGCCTTGCATGCGGGCAACCTGGCCGACCCAAGTTCGATTTCTCTGCTCCTCTCGGAGATACTCACGGCAAAGCCTGGCAAGCTACCCATGACGTATTTGATATTCCAAGCACAGCAACAAGTGTCACAATGGAAACGTTACTGGGCCCGCTTGAGCAAATCGATGAACAATGGGAGAACAGTGACAGTGACAGTGACATTTGACTAACTCAGGTTAAAGATCTTAGTAGAGATGATGAATTTATAGAATAAGACTTACTAATTTTATTCTAAAAATCCCTCAACAGTGTCTTTAGACTTCAAAACAGGACTTCCAGACAAAAGTAGAACCAACCTGTCTTTAGTTCTCCTTGTTAAAACAATAATCAGCTCTTTTCAAAATTGATTACAAAGCAACATATATTATTTTTTTAAATCTATAACTTTCTAAAGTTGCTCACATCAGACATTCCCATATTCTGTGTTGGTTGCTTTAGGATCCCCATCTCTGGCATGCAGAGCTTTTTTGAGATGAGAAGAGGGCTTTGGTGACTAAGGAGTAGTTTCTGTCCTACCTTTAATGCTTTCCCCCATCCATAATTAGGAAAGTTATTGCCACTCCCAATACTGTATTTTGGAGGGTTACAATTCAGCTATCAGTTTGTCAGCAAGCGTGTCCTTATCTAGATGAGAATCATATGTTTTCTTTCAGATATAAGATAAAATTTGCTTATCCTGGCTTTAGAATTTAAAATTCTTTTACTCAGGAGTGATCCCTGAGCAGAACCAGGAGTAAGCCCTAAGTACTTTAGGGTGAGGCCTAAAATACAAACAAAAGAATTTTTAAAATAAAAAATAAATAAGATAAAGAGATAGAAGGAGAGAGGAAAACAGAAATAAGAGGGGGAAAAAAGAAATTCAAAGAGTAATGGAGCAATTATTTGACATTTACTAATAAAAATTAAGAAATAAAGAACTTGTATATAGGAAATAACATATTCTGAGTCAAAAAATGAGTTGTTAGCCAGACTATTAAGAGGGAGAATATGGTACAGTTGTAATTACTGTAGCAAGTGCAATGAGAGTTTGAGTTTTTAAGAAACCAAATGGGCAATTTCATCTCTTGAGCAAGATACTTCCTACAGGTAGGTTCCTTAGATTTTTTTATATCAACTTCTCAGGATCTATAAAACAGTTAGGGAATCAGTTCACTAAAGACTAGGGCTTAGGTCCTATTCTGCCCTTGATAGTTTCACCTAGTACTGCCTCTTTATAGTACATTTGACTACATTTATGGAAATGCAGGTTATCAAAGTGTTCTCTGTACTGTCTACCATTAGCTACCAGGTTTCTGTAGATCCTAGAGTGAAGAACCAGAAAAAATGATAAAATAAATTGTAAAATGTCTTTCCTATATGAGACATAGGGCGTTTGCCTTGCATGTGGCCGACATGGCCAACCTGAGTTCAATTCCTCTCGGAGAGCCTGGCAAGGTACTGAGAGTGTATCGCCCACACAGCAAAGCATGGCAAAGCTACCCGTGATGTATTCGATATGCCAAACACAATAACAAGTCTCACAATGTTACTGGGCCTGCTCGAGCAAAATCGATGAACAACGGGAGGACAGTGACCTCAGTATAACAAATACATAAATGAGAAACATTTAATATTCATCAGTACTGAGGACATTTTTAGGTATTTTAGCAAAAGATTAGGACTGGTCTGAAAAGCCATTTTAGCATAAGATTTAAACTGGTCTGAATACATCCTCCACTAGACCAGGATTTGAGACAGTCAGAAAAAAAACTTTAAACAGAAAGAAAAACCTTGCTGATATACATTTTTATTGTTATCATTGCTCAAATTATAAGAGAAATACAAATTCCCATTTCAATGGAAAAATTCCCTATTTATTCTAGTTGAAAGGAATTATAAAAGGTCAGTATGTATCTAATATAGAAGAACTCAAGCTAATTGCAGAGATAAAATTTAGCTTTTATGTACATTATAACCAAGAACTTGGAAATTCCACACTTTCTGAGGAAATGCACTTGCTAATGATATCTAGCCTAGCCAGTATGATAAAGGACAAGAAAAAATGATTAAGAAGCAATTAAGTTTTGTTTGATGTAACCTTAAAATGTTCTTTTGAGAATTCAACTGGATTACCCCATTTTTTTCTAACGCTTACCTTGTTGCTGAAAACAAGCTTCATAAACTTAAGAAGTTTCTTAAAAAGTCTGACATTCATTTGGTAAAATCATTGCCACTGTCTAGATAAGGTTTTTATTTCCTGAACATATCCCAAACTCCTTTTCATACCATACCCTAAGGATTTTTACAGAGTAAAAGCTTATGCTCTCCCCGAAGGATTCCAAGAATGAGGAGGTCTCTCAAGAACTGTAATACCACTCCCTAGATTCTCAAATTTAAAACATGAGATAATATTATTGAGGAGATAATTAGAAAAATACGTGCTAGGTGTGTGTGTGTGTGTGTGTGTGTGTGTGTGTGTGTGTGTGTGTGTGTGTAATGGGTTTCTGGGGAACTCTGTAGTGTTTTGTTTCAGTCACAATCTCTAACACAAGTCTTAGTCACCTCATTCTTTTCATATCCCCAAATAAGAAATTGCTGTTTTCAGTTTTCTCTAAAATGTAACAAAGTTAGCAAGCAAAAATATATGAAGGAAAAGTGATTACATAAGTTTCCCATTGGTACTATCTCCCCAATTAATTACTTTTTCCTGATATATCATCTGATTTTTCAACTTTCAATAACACCCTAATAAATGTAACTGCCCTGTGCATAAAGAAAAACACGAAGTCTCGCAGGAAGACATTAAACAATGCACAAATCAATCTAGAGACAATGAATGTTCTACAATACTCAGCCATCTCATTTAGATCATATGACTATCCCTTCTTTCTTCAGAATAATAACAACAGAAGTATTAATTATGGTAAAAATTGCTCTGAAAATATAATACAGGGGTTAAGGCACTTGCTGTGCATGCAACCAACCCTGATTCAATATCTAGCACCACCAGTAACAAGTCTCACAATGTTACTGGGTCCGCTTGAGCAAATATATGAACGAGAAGACAGTGACAGTGACAGTGTAAATGGTAAACTTATGACAAAGGAGATAGAAGCATTCAGTGAAAGGAAAGCCTCTTCAATAAGTCAACAAGTGGTGCTGGGAAAACCGATTAGACACAAGCAAAAAAATAAAATTGGACACTACCTGTATCATGTATCATATACAGCACTTTATTCAAAATGGGCTAAAAGGAGTCAAGGACATAGTATAGGTGTTAGGGCATGAGCTTTGCCTTAATATGTAGTACGTAAAGAAAAAAAAGAGAATGGACAATGGCAAATGTAAAGAAGCACTGGACTCTGACAATAGAGCTCAGGATACCAAGAAAAGGCAGGGGGAAGTAAAGAAGTGAGGAGAAGGGAGACAATACCACCACTTCTGTAAAAATGTAAGCCAAGCAAAAAAAATTAACATGCTGAAAAATTTATTACATTTTGCATTTATGGAATGCTTCTTCAATATGTGTCAGTCTAATAAACACCAGTTACCATCTTACATACCATTCTGAGTTAGGAAGAAGAGGGTTAGGGATTGGGGACTTTTTTTT